GGATGGCCGTAAAGAAAAGGTTGGAAATTTCCGTATTGAGCCACCCGGTTTGTTTAGAGGACGCGGTAAACACCCAATCAGCGTCAACCTCAAGAGCCCACTTGAATTTTTCTCGTAAGCTTCTGTTGAAAATTTTTTCGATGGGCACGCCATATTTATAACACCAAGCAAAGGAGATGCGTGGATCAATATAGTTAGTTTTTGATGTGCTCAAAGCAGTTTGCTTATTTTCATCTTTGTCTTTTAGCGTGAGCTTTGTCGCATCGATCTTTTCATTTATTTTGCTAATTTGTTCTTTAAGTTTCTCGACAGTCGTTCCTTTTTTTACTTCGATTTTTTTGCTTTTACGCTCCTCGATGAGCTCTTTTTCCCTTTCATCGATTTCTTGTAATATTGCATTGAGTTCTTTTTCAGGTTTTGGTTTTTGCTTCTCAGCAATAAGTTTTTCATTATCTTTTTCGAATTTTGTCCGCGCCTTCTCACGTTCTTTTTCCATCAAAAGTTTTTCATGTTGTATAATCCATTCATCATCTATGTCGCTTTCTTCTTCGGCGTATTCTGCACGCTTCTTTAATTTAGGATTTAAAGTAAACAGCATTTGTTTGAGCTTCATTTTCTGGTATTTAAAAGCCCGTATCTGTAGACAAGAAAATATGTTATATTTTGTCAGATAAGAAAATAAATCATCAAGGATTTATCTAATTTACCTTATCAATAATCTTTGTCATTTGATTTTCATGAGCTTTGCTCACTGTTCGCTGATGGTTACATAATACAGCGACTTCGCGATTAGCTTTATTATATTTGAATATTTTTTCGTGTATGGTCATTTCTCTGCCTTTGCATTCTTCTTCAAGTTCCGCCATCCCTTTTTTCAATTGTTCTTGAAATGTATGAGAAGCGTTGTAAGTGCGAAATACCTTAGCAGTAAGACCGGCCATTTGTTTTGACAAATATTTATTGAGAAGAGTAGTCTGAAGAAATAATAATTTACAATTAATAAATGAACATAAAATGAAATTAATTGTTAAAAACTCGATAAAAAACTTACATTCAATCGATCAAATAACAAATCCGAATCTGTCTTGGGTTTCCTTTTAAATATATTCAAATTCTTCCAGACTTGTTCGTCTACTTCCACATCATTATAATAACGAATGGAATCTTTTCCAAGAAAGTCAAAAATAACTTGTTTCGGTGGATTAAGTGTCACGTGCTCAAGTCTGAGCGAGCAGCAACCAACAGTATCGGCTTCATTTTTTTCATCTTTTTCGTTTCCTGCTCGAAGAGCAAAACGGTCGATCAGATACATGGCTGTGGCGCGTTGTCGAGTTTCCATAAGCTTATCCTTTAGATCACGAGTGTACTCGGATCGGATTCGATCAACGTGTTGCTAAGTTCAAAAAATGATTATTTATATATATATAATTACCTTTTATTAGTATAGAAATCAAAATACCTTGAGCTCACGAGATTTTTCAAATTTCTTGAGATCACTTTGTCCTTTAAGTGAACTATTCGCAGCAAGAAAAACGTATTTGATTGAATCATTAACATTTTCTTTCCATGTCGCAAGCCAAGTAACAGTATTATCATGAATGATCTTTCCCCACGTGTGTCCTGGAGGTGGATCAGGTATTTTAGCGTCCTTTCCAATATTAATAGTAACTGATTCGGGAGCTACACGCAGCTATAGAAAAAGATAATCAATACTAAAACAACAAAAAAGATCTTCGTCAGGTTAATTAGTTAATTAACATTACTTTGAGTTTGCCTGTTTTTGGGTGTTTACCGCGTCCTCTAAACAAACCGGGTGGCTCAATACGGAAATTTCCAACCTTTTCTTTACGGCCATCC